GTATCAGGACCTGCTTGTAAACATAAGTGGCCAGTCCCAACCTACTGGACCCTACCCTCAGGCCCCAGTGTGTGCGTGGGGGGGCCCCACAAGGGAAAAGCTAATTTCCCAAGCCTTTCTCCTAAGCTTGTTTTGCAACCGTTTCATATGTTCCTGGGTCATGACTCCCAGGTTGAGCAATGCTGATGTAAATGAACATAATCAGACCTATTGTCACATGCATCTATCCCATTCAGAAACCTGGTAAAGTTTCTAGGGCTAGTTCTTCCATGCATACAGAACTGACTGAAGACAGTCCATCTGCTGTGATTATATCACCAGGCTGGCATCCCATATTAAAAACTTGTTCCTGTCAGAATCCTTGTTTTTAAAAGACAATTTAGAAAATACATTTTGTATCTAAATTCAGTAAATTGGGGTTCTAGCCATACTGTGATGGTCCAAGAAATAAGAGGAAAACAGGTAACCTTGCATCCCACAGCAGAAACCACCCACAGAAGTCTCTTGTGTTGCTTTTATGATTCAGGCATGGTTGCTTTTCGACAAGCTGCTTGGCTTCTTCCATACCCTTCCTTCCCTGTTTGTGGTTGAGTTAATAAGGTATGGAGCCTTTTTTAACTTGAGCAGGTGTGGGGGGGAATCAGTAGTTCTTTCGCTGATGTGTTTGTCTACAAAGCTTCATGTTAAATATAATCTCTTCTGGCTTTAAAGTCAGGATTCTCAAATTCCAGTGTCTCACATTACCAGGTGTATAGAACATATTGGCTGGATGGGGAGGTAAGTATGCTCTGCAGCACAGGGCTGATACAGTCTAGTTAGGCAAGATAGAGAAGGTGCAGCTGATTAGAGGAGCAATTTACTTCTGTTACCATAAATACAGAATTGTTCAGCTCTTTCACAAAACGACAGGTATATGCCCTACAAAGACTTATTTCCTTGACTGAGGTATGGCTTAAAAACATCAGTGTGCCGGAACACAGAAAACCTGAGTTATTTTAGCAACATCTAATTGTGCTAAACTTAAGCTCAAGGGATCCTTCACACTTACTAATACAGAGGGTGGTGCTCTCTTTTATCAATAATGCAGATAAGCTTAGTTCTCTTAAAATGCCATAGTAGCTTCAGAATCTAAACATGAAATATGTTGTTTCATATTATGAAATACGTTTTTTCACTTTTGTCAACTTAATAAAACTCAAAACTTAGCTACCTTAGGAACAGCAAGCTATGAATAGTTAAGTTTTCCTGTCCTTCAAGCACTTTTTTAGACAATAAACTTGTGATAGGAATGAAAACACTGTCATTTATTAATATTAAAGTCTACGTCAATATTAAGAGTCTATAGTTATTCTACTGGCATTTTATCATACAGTTTAACCATCTCAGTATAAGCCTAGTAGGCTGTGCACAATAACCTAATTACAGAAACACTATGTTGATTTAATAGTTCAGACGGCTGTTCCCCTCTCCAAGTTCTGTTTAATCTCTGCTGTGTATTTCCCATAGAACCTTTCTGCCTTCTTGTTGAACTTGGCATTTCTCTCATTAATGTAGTCAATATCTGCATCATCATTATAGGAACGTCGCCGACTGTATTTTTCACGTTTTACAATTCTGTAAGACAAACATGAATACTGTAAGACCAATGCATAAAAAAATACAGTAAGTAGAAGAGATTAACAGGAGCAATACCCCAACAATACTAAAATTATGAGGAAGCTGCAACACTATAGCATCTCAGGGTAACTGATTCCTTGGTTTTCTCCTATTGGAAACAGCAGGGCTGCATATTTCTTACTCCTGTAACTGCAGCTTTTTTTTTTGGAGTCCAGCTTTACAGGCTGCTGCCTTTTTCTGTACAGCATTCAGAAATCCCAGAACAAGTCCCCGAACATCCTGTTGTTCAACTTTTATATCCACAAAGTTGTGCATGCACACAATCAAGTTGGAAGAAATAAAAAAAAGCCTAAACACTATTTAAAAAGGAATGGAAGAGGTGGCAGCTTCCGTCAATCTTGAATCCACACAAATGGATAATAGAACTCTGATCACAGTTGAGCAAAATGGCACTCTATTTTGGATGACTTATTCACATGAGTACAAAAAGTTGTTATAATATTTGTATAAACAGGTAGTTGTGCTGCTCTTCGCTGGTGGGCATTGTGAGAGGGAGATTTCAGAGAAGAGACTATTATTTGGTTCCTGTCCAGCAACTGCACTGTCCATTATAACAGTGCTCAACTCACATTTGCTTGCACAAATAATATTATATGTCAACATCTTTTTATTTTTATACAAAACATGATTGTGGGACAAAGGCAAGACCATCAAGACTTTCCATTATTGACATTTTTTAAAACATGTTTGAGGTTGAATTATTAGGTATGGTCCCTGAGGTAGACTTTGACAGACACCACACTTTTTATGCGCTACAACAAAAAGCACTGTGTTTTATAATGGCATCCATTTTTAGATGATTAGGACCATCTTCTTAGTTACTTACTGTTTTTCAAGATCAGCAACCATCCTATCAACCCCTTCATTAGATGGCACGTGAGTTCCATGAAGAAGACTGTTTGATGTCGGATAGAATTCTTCTCTGCCGAGTGATAGAGAAATTAGCAATATTTTACAATAAATAATAAGACAGAGGGAAAAGATAGGTGGTTAGAAGTGAGACATTTCATTACTGAAAAACATCCAACAGTGGACAAAGTGTGAGAGTGTAGGAATCCAAACAGAACATCAGATAAGAGTTTTTTATTTTTTTATATATAGGTTTAAGGCATGAAGAAACGAGATTTAGAGCAATAAGCACTGCCTTTGTTCATTTTGTATATTCCAATAATCAATCTAGAATTTTAGCTGTGGATCTAAAACTTAAAATATTTTTTAAACCACTATAAAATCCAGAAAGTTACTCACTTCAGGAGACTAAATGATTTAGTGATACGTTTATAAACACAATCTAATTGAGCAATACTGCATCAAACTTCAGTAACTGTGATACTTGAATAGGCAAATAAATTCAAACACATAAGCCACTTCTTTAACAACTTGTCTCAAAATGGAATGAGAATAGTGACAGTTCTATAGTAGCATCCAGGAGATAACTGTCCTCGGACTATGACAAATCCACTTGTACTGCACTGTGCATAAGAATAAAAGAGATTAAATACATTTGGAATTATATGAATCAAAGAAAAATTTTAACCATCAGATACACTAGTTTGCCAAAATAATTATTTCAGGTAATCTTACTTTAAAAAAATAATTAGTATGAGGCTGTCAAAGTTAAACTCACGTATCTTTCTTTTGCTTTTCATATTGTTCCATGTCTGGTTTGATCTGCTTGGTTAACCTCTGATATTGGCGCAATTGGGCAGCTGCATAATCTACAAAATGAAAGATTGCAATGAACACAAAAGCTTTATCATATGGTACAAGTTTCAGTTGAAGCATATGAACACATTTTAAATAACTGTTTCCCCACACCCTACTGGGAGATGAGGGAAAAGTGACTAAAATTCTTACCTGAAAATCCTAGATCTGGATTTTTTCTCTTCTTTTTTCTTTCCCATCTTTCAGCATCCTCAGCACTGATTTCCAACAATTTCACTCGCTCATAATCTTCTCCTTTTGCAGCACATTCCTAATAGAATATAAGCCACTCGTTAAAGTTCAACACAACAAAAGGGCAGACAAGGAACAAGCTTAGTAGATTAGGTAGATTTTAGTAGTTTTATATACATTGTTTGGTATTGCAGATAGGAGTTTTTGGTGAGCGTGTCAGTTTAATGCATGCATGTGTATTTTGGGGTGTAAACACATATCAGAAGTGCTCTGGATCTAGATCCTTCTGTTAGGACAGTTAAATTCTGGATAAGACTTGTGCACATACACACGCAATGAAATGCACTGTGAGTAGTTGTGTTATAGTCAGACTAATTGCTGAACATAAGGTTAAATCATTACAGGACAGAGCCCCCAAGAAAGAAAACTTATGGTTTCAGTCAACATTTATATCTGTTTATACCTTTTTCTTTTCCTCCACCTTCAGTTCCCATTCCAATCGAGCCTTTTTTGCTTCCCAGTTTGGTGGCAACTTGAGTCTCTTGTCTTCTTCTACAACTTCCTGGTGGTTTAGCTTGCGAGCTTCATTCTAGGGGAAAAACAACCAGTGTCTCACTCAACTGAAGCGAAATGGTAATACAAAAGTACAAAAGTAAGGAAGGACAAGACATGATTTCATCCTTTGCAAGGGCAGCTCATGTCACCCATTGAGGAACCCATCAATCAAATACTATACGTAATTCAGCCTTTTAGTTAAAAATCATTTAAATATTGACCATTTCTATTCCCTCCAGAGGAATGTAAAGGCCCCTCCCCCCAACAAATTTAGAAAAGCAAAAACTGATGGTCAGTGTTTCACTCCTTTTGAGAGGAGCAGCAAGAATATTTGTTAAAAGCATTTGATGACCTACTAAGGTCCCTTCTGACCCAAAGATCTATGAAATCCACTGTGATGAAGGAAGAACTTAGTCTGGCCCTGAGAAATACTTGCCTGTTAGCTCTCTTACCTGACTGCCAGATCTGCTTGTGGAATTATGTTACAGGGATCAAGATGTTCTCTCCCCCCAGTTTTCGGTTAGACTTTTAAGGACAGGCTATGTATCTTTTGCTTGGAAGGTCTCCTCAGGGACTGCCTCTAGGCAGAAGCCCCTGTTTTAAGTCTATAAACAGTAGAAGAGCCCGTGCTGCTCGGCAGATCTTACCCTCTTCATATGGAGCTCCCGGAACTTCCTCAGCCTCGCCTCCCTCTTCTGGGCCACCAGCTCCTCCTCCGCCGTGGGGACCAGCTCCTCGTCGGAGCTGCCAGAGGAAACCTGGAATATCATATGGGGCTTTCAATCATAGAGAAGCAGAGCTAGAGGGGCCCTCCAGAAGTCAACCCCTGGCCTGAGGCAGGATCAGCCCTCTCCAAACCATCCCATCCCACTCAGCCTCTAAACTCTCCACAAGATGACTGTCAACCCTCGCACAACAGACACATCCCACCCCAACCTGCTGCTGGGAAAGCCAGGCAGCTGCAGGAGCTGACAGCCTCCTGTTACGGAAATTAACATGTACTCAAGAGACTCCCCCCACCGCCCCGCATGCGGTTCAGGCCAGACCCTCCAGCCAGGACCCGCCAACTCGGGTGTTGCCAGGCAGATCGCCGCCCCAGCCTCTGGGGCAGATTTAAGCCACCCCAACATGGAGCAGAAGGGGGGGAGGCAACCAGCCAAGCCCCAAAACCTGGGACAGCCCCAGAGCAGAGCCCGGACACGGTCCCCCCCCCTCCCGGGGAGCCTCACCCCTCCGTACGGCTCCGCCAACGCCGCCATGTTCGACACAAACACAACCACTTCCGGCTTCCTTCCGCACGGCGGAAGTGACGTCATCACGGGCACGCCCCGGAAGGGAGTGTTGCTCTCCTAAGCTCCTCCTTGCGGGTGGGAAGAGCCTCTGCATCGGCGCCTGAGGGGAGGGGGGCATGAAGATGGAGGGTAAAGAAGGGAGAGGCGGGTGTGGGAAAGGAGAAGAGGGAGTGGTATAGCAGGTACACTAGGGTTCAGGGGAAGGAGCCTGAGGAGAGCCCAGCAGCTTCCTCCACATGCTGTCGCCTCAGGGGCCTCCCAGATGAGGCCCCCACTCCTGTCCTGCGCTGCTGCCCCCGAATAGGCCCAGCTCTGGGAGCTTTTGCTCCAGCTGCACCAGTAGAGACAACGCATGACTGATGTGGCCTGCAGCTCTTGAGACGCATTGTCTTGTGGCCGGGGTTGCCTTGCTGGGACGGTGGCGGATGCTTCAGTAGTGTCAGAGCGATGTTGCTGGTACTCCGCCACTAAGTGGGACTAGCCTCCTCATTGGGCTTTCGCCAGGATGGAAAAAGCCAGTGGGGCAACCTGATGAAAGATTGCCACTAAAATCAACCCTCCCCAGTTCTACTCTGAACCGTCAGCACTCATTTTGCACTGGTGCTGGGGATTCTTCCGTCTTTATGGCTGTCGGCCTGGTTCTCGGAAGAGAGTTTACGTCCAATAGCTTTTAGGGCTGTCAGGGAACCCATCAGCCAGCTTTTCACGGGCAGCCGTCTACTAGGTATTGACTCATCATAGTTCTGGAAACTTGTCTGCCGGGGCCTGTTGAGCAGAACGGATTCTTAAGGGGTACCTTGTACATTTAGATAGGCAGAATCAAGAGTCAGTGCTTGGGAAATGATGCATTCATTTAGCTTAATGAACATGCGGATGCAACTGAAGTAATGGAAATCTTCAGTCATTCCAGTTTTCTAGCTTAATGGATCCCAGGCGTTAGTGAGCAAAGGATCAAGTCATTAGCAAGGAGCAAAGCAAGATCCTTTTCTAAGGATGAACTTTAACACTTCTGAATAGTATTTGCTGAATGTCTTGGATGGCCCAATCTTCCTTGTATTTGTGGATGAGGTAGTGCGAGCTCATCTTGCCCTGCCTCACACCAGCTATGAAGACATCACATCTAAAGGCAAAAGAGTTGTATAGTCAGTGCATAGTCTTCTTTACTGAGAATGCCAAAGACACCAATTAGTGCTCATAATGAGGGCATAATTAGCCACCTGAACAGGATTTGAACCTGCAGTCTTAAGGTGAAAGATCATTCTGAACACTACCTGGACCGTCTGAGCCTCAGAGGCATGCAGTACTTGAAAATGCTTTACATTGTCCAACTTGACATCTAAGTATCCATAACAGCTGTAGGGCCAGATCACCAAGTGGTAGTGCATTGATTTACATCATATAATCTTCTCTCTCACAACTGCAAAACACTTTGCTTGCGATGAGTAATCAGTAACCTAGAGAATTGTGTGTACTGTGCAGATTCGTAGATAAAGATAAAAACAACCAGCATAAAGTAAGAAAGAGAAATTGGAAACCCAGATACTAGTGTGATGGATATTGTTAAGGAAACCTTGATAAATAACCTCTATTACAAAAAAGTCTAGTATTTATAGCAATGGTTCCAAATTGCTTTCATTACTATAATACTTACAGGGTGCATCTACACAAGACATTTGTTGCAGAGCTGGCTAATTAGCTCTCAGTAAACGTTTCAGTGTCTACACATCCACCCCTATTAGGGCACAGGAAACTAATAAACTCCGTAGCAGGGTAGTACTTGTAAATACAAGTACTATTCTGCTGCAGAGTTTTTTTCATGCACAGCAGCACATGTGTAGGCACTGACCTGGCTAGCTAGAGCACAGGGTGCTTCAGTATGGGGGCTGCCTGCCAGCTGCCCCACATTGGAGCACCCTCCTGCCCCAGCCAGCCCCTCCACAGCACATTGAGCCCAGCTGGGGCAGCCCTGGGCTGGGAGGCTGACCCCTGGGGCCACCTGTGAGCCAGGGCCACTCAGATAGGGCTCCATGTGCTGTAAATGAATAAACTTCAGAGCTGATTCCTCCAGAGTTTTTGCTTCCTCCCAGGCACACATTCAAATGGTGTGCCTGGGAGCAAAAACTCTGGAGCAATCAGCTCTGGAGTTTATTGTTCACTAATTGCATGTACAGATGTGCCCACAGAGGCGCTACATGCTACTGTGAACTGTACTGCTTGTTTCAGTCCATAGAACATCATTTTTAGAATGTGGGGAGGGAGGTTTATTTACAGAAATACAGTGGAAAGACCTAGTGAAGCAACAGGAAGATAAAGTTGAGGTCTTCTTGAGAGCAAAGAAAGATCCTTTACCTTCTTGCTGGTTTCAATGACATTGCTAATGTTTAAGAATTGTTTTAGGCCCCTCTAGTGGAAGTTAGAGGGAAGAGGTGATTTTTGGGTTCATGACAAGGAAAAGAGATAAAAACTCATTACATCCTTTAATGCTCCATCATTCTGGAAATGTTTGGCTAATCTTCCACGAATGGCAGTATTTTAACTTTTAACATAAAGCCCCTGGAGATTGCTGACCAGGCAAAGGTTCTGCTTCATCTATAGGAAGGAAGTCCATGGTTCTGACTCTCATCCAACCCCAAAGCTGTGTGTACAAAAAACTGTTCAGAACTACACTGCTCCCCCAAATACCTTTGCCTTTCCAAGAAAGAGAAGTAGCCCAGCAGAAACCATCCTCAGGGCATGCTTTGCAGTTAATCACATACGGGCTTCAAGCTAGAAGAGACAATTCATATGTCCTTGCCCCTTCTTTTAGATTGCCTGTTCCAAGATGCTGGGAAGGAATGCTAATCTAATATGAAGAGGCCATCACACCTATTCCAGAATTTACAAAGAGCTAAGAACAACACCATCCAGAATACACAAATATCCCAGAAGGAGATATCAGGTGCATACATCTCACAGAGAACCTGCAATGACAGCCCAAGAGTATGTCTGCACTGCAGCATGATTTATGCATACCTGAGTTAATTTTAAATTGCCTAAATTACTCAGTACTTTGTTGCCATTGTAGACTGCTACGTATACCTGTGCTAGCTTGTTTAAAGCTAGCTGAGGTATCTCTACACTGAGCTACATGTGGCAGTGTGGGCTTGTCCAACATGTCCAACCCAGCATTCAGGAACACCCTAACATTAACAAACTGTGCAACCCAGAAGGGAAACACTTAAGAAGGAGATAAGTTTCTGTTTGAAATATGTCAGGGTGACACAAAAAGCTATTCGCAGCAGCATCCTCTCCTTGGAGATCAGCCACACAGGCCCTTGTGATTAGTGTTATGCTGAGACTTTTCTCTCCATTGCATCCAGGGCAGTTATGCACTTATTCAAACTTGATTAGGTTTCTAATTCACTTCTGGGTTCTTAGGTATTGCTTCAGTCACAGCAGGAAGAGTTTAAAATGCATTTGAATAATACTTAGTTTATGTATACTGCTTTACAAACAGTCCATTAAACCCTTAATACAGCACCCTCCCTCCATGAAAGAAAAAAGCAATAGAATTTATTATCCCTAAGGACAGTCATGGGGGAAAGTGTCAGTTTTGCAAAGGTATTTAAGTACATAAGGATGCAATAAACTCCTCAAAAGACTTATAGAATTGCTTAACTCCCATTAACTCCAATGAGATGGCAATGGGACTAGCAAGGCACCTAAACACCTTTAAAAAGTTGAGTCAAAGCTCACCCAACAAATTAATCACAGAGCTATTACTCAATCGCTACACCCTACTGTAGTCTCTGTTAAATAAGCTGCGATGAGCTCTTGTGCTGTGAGTCTGATGTGCTGTGTGTGTTATTAGACACACACATGTAACCTGGATAGTGCCAGAAAATTACTCCAACTACTCCATCACTTTCTGGAGCAAGCACAAAAACCCTTTTGCAAGTGAGTGAGTGTGTCCATAGACAGGGCTGACCACAGATGTTTCCTACAGGTGATTCCTGTTTGAGGTGGAAAACATTGGACATGGTGCAATCACAGAGGAACTTCTCTCCTAGGTGACCACCAAGACTTGCTCCTTTTTAAGGTAAGGAACATAAAACAATGGGTGGGTAGAGAGGCTGGGCCTTCTGAAAAAGTTGTTGCACTTGCTTCAGTGTTCTGGTGATTAGAAATACATGCCAAGATGAAGCTGCAGCTTGTGTGAATCATCAGTGCTCTCAGTTGGCTTTGGTGGGCATTCCTATATACAGTTCCAGTTTTGTTCCATTATCAAGTCTAGCTTGAGATAACATGATTAGACTCTTTTGAACACTTCTAGTATATAGGAGGGTTGGTGGGATTTGGGCCCCTTTCTGGCTAAAGCCAGAATATGCTGTGTATGGTAATCACACCTTCCATATAAACCGGATGCAGCTTAGTAAGTGCCTTAAGAGCCTTTGAAGATGTGTCAATTAACTGGAAAATACAGAGTGTATCTTTGCTTCAGGGTTAAGCAGGTGATGGGCACTAAGCTGTGAGCACCCCCACTGCAAAACTTACTTGAACTATTGTGTCCTTACAGTTTGTACACTTAGCTAGGTATGCCAGGTGGTTTACTCCATAGTCCTTTGTGCTGGCGTGTTCTAGGATCCTTTTGTAGTGCCTTGTGGAAAGACTTGTGTCTCCTTAGGGGGAATTGTGGGAACACACTGGGGTATTTAATACTTGAGTACTTAGCTTGTTCTGTTCCTGAAAAGTCAGTATTTCCAGACTAAGCATGAGTTAGACTGCTTTAATTTAGATAGGTAAGCTAGTCCAAATTTAAAGCACTTCCAAGCCCAATAAAAGTTCTTCCCATGTAGATATGGCAGAAGAGGGGCTAAAACCTAGGTTGAATGCCCATGTTAACACTTCAGTGAAGATGTATCAGATGTATATGTTAATTAAGCCTCCCAGTACTCCATAGTGCATCTCCTTTAGCTGTCTCATAGAAACCACATCTGATTCTGTCCACCAGTAGGCAGTGGTGACATATTCACATTTGCCAGTTCCTTCTTTTTTTTTCC